AAAACTAATTTTCGTTATTTTTTGATGATACGTTGTTTTGCAATTTAGGTAACAATATGCATACCAATTTACTGGTGCACTGAATGTTTTTGGCTTTTAGCGAAATTTTCCAAATATATTTGTGTGTTTAACTGCAGTATTTTTCATAAAGATCAGGTAAAACTAGTTCTAAAGGATAAGGCATTAGGTATTTATGAATTTTTTGGCATATTTCAAAGCATTTGATATGCAAAGGCAGTAATGGCGCTTCATAAAAAATCAAAGTATAACTATTTTAAGGGATGGGATCGGTCTAAGGATTGCGAACAGCTGCTTCCTTAACCTCAAATAGACTTTAGAACCCTAAAACAGTATTCACTTGAGAGAATATTGAGAAATGCAGGAAAATATAAAAAAATAAAAGGAGATAATACCCATCAAAGATTCATTTCTTATGCGTTATAAAAGGGATAATTATCTTGATTTTGATAGATCAGTTAGTATGGCAGCTATATGCTATATATATTAGTTCAAACTGAAGATCCGTTCGGAAGATATATCTTCAAATACCAGCAATTTTCCAAAGAACTAGTTGATTTTGATCAATCAGTTGTATGGCAACTATATGCAATACTAGTCCAATTTGAATAATTTCCTCGTGTATTGTGCCGTTGCCTTGAAAAATAATCCATGCCATATTTCATGAAGATCTCGTCAAAAGCAAAGGTTTTCCATACAAGTTCTGGATTTCATCGTTCAGTTTGTATAGCAGCTATACGCCATAAGAGTCCAATATCGGTGATTCCGACAAATGAGATAACCATATATACATATACAGATATGTATATATTAAAATAACAGAAATATTAATACTTTATGTTTACTCTCAGAATAAATTGAGAATGTTAGGTCGTTTTTAAGCGCTTTAGTCTGACTTTCCGCCTTTAAACAAGGTAGCGCCTGTGGTTAGGCTAAGTTTTTTTTATAGAATATGCAAGTAGATAAAAATTAAATATATGTATGTACATATATGCAAGTATATATTCAAAATTTCAATGATTATTAAATGACTATAAAACTTGCTAAATTGATGTACGCCTAGATAATATACGGCAATAACTTAGCTTTGGCATAACCATAACTGTCATACAGTGCGTATGAGCAACATGTAGATGTAGTATGAGTCGAAACCGAATTTCAAGCTTTATTATGAAACTAAAAGTCATATGCCTCTTGATGTGCTTCATGTTTGAGCTCTCATGAAACCAAAATGGTGCTACAGTGCGTATGAGCAACATTTAGGAGCAATATAGGCAAAAGACTAAAAAAAAAAGTTCAACTCATTATCGTTAAACTGAAAAGATGTTAGCATTTTATATGAAAGTGATAAATATTCCAAATCCATGTCAAATCAATATTCACAAATTTTCTATGAATATTTAATGAGAGAAAAATGTAAGTGAAAATATGTCAGTTTATAATGAAATAGGCAAAAAACTAGAAACAAAAGCTCACGCTAGCGCTAGAAATAGTCACCAGAGAGTATTTAACATTAAAATGACAAATATTTACTAACATTGATCCTTTGGCGAACTGCAGCTAAACTGCGGCCGGTCATATACTGTCACCCACATACCCTGCACCTACTTTGCGCACCACTTTTCCAACGACAAGAAGTTTTAAAACTTTTAGCCACGCTTAACCTTATGCACAGAATTCGCAATTCGTCTGCTCAAAAAGCGCACAAAATTATACATTTTTCATGAGCCAAAGTCGGGTGGGGAATACAGCGCTGTAGACGGTCGGTGCTCGCGAAAGTACGTGTGTGTGTGTGTGTGTGTGTGTGTGTGTGTGCTTATTTGCTTGTGTACGAACGTTCGCTCGCTTGAGTCGCATGAAATTTTAATATGACACGCTGGCGAAAAACACCAAGCACAAAAAAAAAAAAAAAAAAAAAAAAAAAAAAA